TACAAAGCCTTTTTCCTACACCAAGGGAATGAAATAAGGCCATGACATCTCTGAGATTCAGATCTGAAATAACATAACAAATCCTTATACTGCAGTATATCATAATGCCATTCAAGCCAGACTGGGCACTGGGATGCCCAGCCATCTTCCTGACCCTTGCCCTGCCTTTGCTGAGTGGTACTGGCCACTTGTTTTGCCCCATCTGATTTATTTTTTGTCTTTTAAAATGAAAGCAGTGATACCACTGCCTTCTGTAAAGCACTTTCAGTGTGGCAGTGTCAGAGGGAATTTTTAGGATGATGCTATTTAAAATTGCCAGGCATGGTTTAGGCAGAGCAGGACGATGGAATAAAGCAGTGTCTCTCAAGCTTTTCAATCTATGCTTCACTTCAGTCAGTTAAGAATAATTTCATGCCTGCTCACAGGAATGGCTGCAGGGCCTGGCGTCAGGGCACTGCATGTCTCGCTGGCTGGGGAGTGCTCGCAGAGAGGGGCATGCGAGCTCCCTGCAGCCAAACTTTCAAGGACACTAAGATACAAATGTTGTCTTTCATAATAACAGCAATTAACAGGAAAAGAACGTTACAAGGGACTGGCATTCAGTTTGAAGTACTTTTTCTTTTTAGATTTGGCTTTCAAGCATGTGTGTACCATAGCATTACATAAGCCCATGCTAAATCCCAAGCAAAATCAGGAAAAATTCAACTGCTTTGGAAAAGCTGGTGATTCAAACACTGCAGCAAACAACTGGTCAAGGCCAGGCAGCAAGCTGGGCTAGTGAGCTTCACATAGAGAGCCCACCAAATGCATGGAAGCCACTCAAGTCCACAGGAATCCACAGTATCCATACTATTTGTTGTTGTGATCCTTGGACCAAGCTCTTTGCCAAGCCAACGCCTGGGTGCAGCTCAAGGGGTATGACAGGTCGAGGACCAACCCAGAAAGCTCATGGGGTGAGATTGCACAGACATGACTCCTCCACAGGACACAGTCCTTCAACACTGCAGCAGCAACTCATTAACCCCGACACCCCACACACCTTCATGTAACCTCAGCTTAAGGTCTGAAAACAGCTCTCTCATGTGCTGCCACCCATCTTTGGGTACTTTGAACTTTGAGAAACCACCCCAAACTAAAAGCCAACCACACATAAAATAAAATGATGACTAAAAGCCACATGTGCACCAGTAGCAGTCTAGATACAGGGCCAAGCAGATGCAGTGACACCTGCCATTTGAGATTGGGGTGGGGAACTGCTTTACTTGGCAGAGTAAATAGAATCAAAGTGTCTCAAACTGGGCTTGGGCACCGACAAAACTGTTATTTTTGAAACTTCCTCCAGAAGTTCCACCTTCAACTTTCAGGTGTTTTGGTTTCTGTATCTAGGAAACAGAGTTCATGATCTGAATCAAAGGTAAGATGAAGAATTAAGTGGAATTTGAGATACTGAGTCAGGGAGATGAAACTTGTCAGTGCCAGCCCTGAGTGTAGATCCCCTCATATGTGGGCAGATGAGTTAGTCTTTGCTAATTACTTAAACCTTTCAACACCCAAGAAAACAGAGGGAGGGAGTCCAAGGCACAGTGAAGGGCTTATCCCTGGACACAAGGATATGATGTAGTATGGAATTTTGAAAGAGAGAAGAAAGAAACATGCAGCAGATTCAATGACCCAAATCTGAAAAGCAGGGTAGGCCTAATTATTTCTTTAAGGCCATATGTGGGAAATAGCGAATGAAGTTTCTTGAATTATTGATCATCAGCTTCAGATCTCTGTCCTCACCACAGCTCAGGGCAGTCAACAGCTCTGATGTCACTGATCTTACATGCCGAGTCATGCTAGAGGACAGATTTTGGAAAAGAAAGACACTGTAACATTTAAAATTGTAAATATTACCATTCCAATCACCAAGTGCAGGCGGCAAAGAAACTGCAAAACAGTTCAGGTTTCAGGGTGTGGCTGCTGATGGCTCTCCCCTCTGCTTCTAAATATAAAGTTTTTTAGACTTCACAATGAAGTGACAGCTACCCCTTATCACTGAAGGCCAGCTGTTTCTTTAGCACTCAGCTGTTCCTGCTGCTTGCTCGTAGAAATGGAAGAAAGCTATTTAGAGACACAAATCTGCAAAGCCTTTGAGCACGTCTATCTTAGAGCCTGTCCTTCAGTTCTTAAAGTAATTTGGTTGATCTTCTTTCACACCCATTTTACACCTCTGCACCCGTGCTGACACCACCAAAACTAGTCCTGGTTCCCCGACACAAATAAAACCAGATCCAGAATTATTCCTTCTAGGTATTTTAAAAGCTTTTATGGTGCCTCCTGAGAAGGACTCAGTTAAGCTCACCCCTCGTAATAATCATGATTAAACCTCTCAGCACTAACACATTGTTGCTGTGTTCCTTCTTCAATGCAGCTAAGGGTGAATGTGTGCCACTGGTTGTGAGGTATGAGCCAGTCCTGTCCTTCCCAAATGTGTGTGGATTTATCCTGGATTTCATCCGCAGGGGCTTTATGGGTGTGTGGGGTTACATACACGCTTACAGCTCCAGCAGACTAACACAGTTTATGACTCCTGAGGCTGAGAGCCATGACGATCAGAGATCAGGTTCCTCTTGTGATGGCACTGGCCCCTATTTTGCACAACACTTTCTCCACAGTCCAGCTGGCTTCAGTGGTTCCTCACCTACCAAAGAAGACCTTCCATGCAGTGAAGTGTGGAGGCACAAAGCCCTGGAAAATGCCAGTATCAGTGTGAAATTGTGCTCAATCTCCTTAAAACAACTGTCTTCCAAATACTTCTGTCCACATTTGAAAGCAGAGCGAGCAATGTTTTTTACCTTGGGAGTGGTTAGAGATGCTGAGTTTGGGTACTGGGGAGTGCAGGGAAGGCTGAGGGCAGCTTCAGCTCAGCAGCTGGATCAGTCCAAGCTCCAAGGTTTGTCTGGTGAGGGCAGGGTGCTCAGCTCAGGCTGTGTACCCTCCTGAAGCACTGTCTTGTGCAGTATTTGTTATACCCCTGTGTTTCCAGAGTTTTTTTTCCAGGTAAAATTGTGTGCTTACAGTATGGTGAGGCAGAGCTTTCAACATTCGGAACCTCAATAAATCCATACCTGAATACCGGGCTTTCACAGAAGCATTTACATACCTAGCACATTTATCTGCCTTTCTGGATGTATGAGCTATTCTACAGCATGTGTACAAAACAGTTTAAGATCACTTAGACCTGTATACTATTATATAAATATAGGTGTTCTGAAGATCTGAGATACTGCTGTGGATGCAGTAGAGAACAGTGATGCCTTGTCTGTGCATCTCTGCATCTTCCTCACTAAGTGCCCTATGTATGTGGTCAGGCAAAGGGAACTTTCCTTCCTGTGTGGACAAAGCAGACCTGGGCATATATGGTTTCATGCTGTTTTGTAACAGAAGGCAATGTCAAATAGTGTCTAAACCTACTTCCAGTTAACAGCAAAACTGCCATAAGGTTCAATGGGTTTACAGTAAAAACTGTACTCTCTCACCCACATGCAGCAGGATTTCAACAGTTCAAGCACTGAGTGGAAAATGTTACAGCAATTTTTTTACCTTTGCAATCTATGCACCAAATTCCCTTCTACTTTGTAATTCACAGTCAGACTTTTCCCAAACATACAAAATTCTCTTAAACTACAATCACAATGCTGTTTTCTTCACTGCCTTGTATTTTCTCTTATCCGTGGTGCCTGGGCCAAATAGCAGTAAAATGTTATCTGTGTTTCAGCAATGTTCAAGAGCCACATTACACTTGTGCATCTGGGGCAACAAGATACAGACTAATACAAGATCAGGGGTAATGTATATGTGGCTTTACCACAGTGCTGTAAAAACAGTAAACCACAATCCTTGTTTTAATCTGAATCGCTATTAAACTCTTAAAAGGAAACTCTGGCTGACATCTTTTGCCAAGGAATAAACACACAGGACAACACTCTGCGTCCATCCTATATGCTGGATAGCTCTTACCTAAACACTTCAATTAAAACCAATGGGACCAAGAGCAATCCTGCAGGAGGACCGATTACAAGCTTCAGCACTTTTGGCCTGAAGATGTACCAATGTGTGATTACAGCACAGCTTAAAATATGCCTATTTTAAAACTACACTTGCTCGTGTTAAAACCAACCAGTTTTAGGCAACAGCTGTGCAGCAGCTATCTGAGATAAGGATGCAGAGTTAGCAGCACAAATAGGATGGTGTGGACAGGAAAGGTGCTGAGCTCTTCCTGCTCAGCCTGTGTGCCGGGAGCCAGGCTATTCTGGTACACGGCTTCTGTGTATCCAGATGACGAAAGGCAGCTGAATATGCTGGCAAGGGCTGGCAGGAGCTCTGGCTGCATTTTTGAGAGCTTTCCACTGTTTCTCTTTTTCAGCAGGTTAGGCCATTGTGTAGAGTTCAGTAATTCTCTTACATCCCTGTGCGTGTTTTTACAGCGCTGCCGTCTTCCTCTCTCGCCTGAGCACCGCAAGGGGTCACGGATGCACGTGCCAGGCACATTTTTAGAGCCCCTCCGGGGTCCCGTTTGTATCGTCTTTTTGGTTCCCGTTCATTTCCTGCCATACTTTGCCGCACGGGACGCTCCGCCGCCACACTGTCCCTTTTTCCCGATTTCCCTCACGCTTCCCCCGTGCCCGCCCGGCGCGTGCGAGGGGGCGGAGCCGACGGAGGCTCCGCCCTCCGCCTACCTCTTCCTCACGGCAACGCCACTCCCCCTCTCGCCCATTGGCTGCCCGCTCCTCGCTCCCCGCCTCCCGCCGCGCGGCACGCGCCTCCCGCCCCATTGGCCCCCTTCCCCGCCCTCATTTGCATGACGCTCCGCGCACCAATGGGCGGCCGCTGCCTTCTTAACATGCAAGGAAGTGGCCAATGAGCGGGTGAGGGGGCCGGGCCACCACGTGCTGTTGCTAAGCTTCGGCTTCTAAATTGTTACTACACGGGCAGCCAATGGGCGCGGGCGGCGGGGATCTGTCAACATCCCCTGCCCCGGCGGGGGGGGGGGCTCTGGCCGCCGATTGGTCCGGACGCCCCCCTAAGTCCCGCCCCGCACCCGTCCGCCGCTCGCCATTGGCTGCGCGGGCTGCCCGTCCGCTGTTGTGTCAAATGTAGGTGCCTTAAAACCGGGGGCTCGGGAGTCCCCGCGCGTGAACTCGGCGCGGGGGGCTCGGGACGGGCAGCCATGGAATTGAACTCCCTGTTAATCCTCCTGGAAGCGGCCGAGTACTTGGAGCGAAGAGACCGAGGTACAGGGCGCAGGCGGGCAGTCGGTCAGGCACCCGCAGGCGCTCCCAGCCGCTCTCGGCCTTTGTTGTGCGGCGGCCGGGCCGGGGCAGCGGCCCCGAGCCCGCACCTGCCCGGGGGGGACCCGGGCTGCGCCAGCGGCACCGCGCTGGGGGAGCATCGCTGCTCGGATCTTGGCTTTTTTTTATATCTAACCCCCCAAGCAAACCAGAAGGGGGTTGTTTGTGCCGCCCTGGATGGGGACGGTGCGTGTGGCAGCGCTCAGGATCCCTCTCGCCGCTCCGTGTGTGGCAGTCGGTGATTGTATGGCAGCTCCCCTCCCCCAGCGCAGCGTGACAAGGGTTTGCATGATCCGCCTCGTTTTTAATGTGCACTTTAATAATCTTCCTAATTTCGACACTTCGGTGTTGTTTTTTTTTCCCCTTTGGTTTACCGAGTTACGTTTTTTTGTCTCGCTTCTTTAAGAGATGCCAGAATAAAATCCAAACAAATCAACCGGAAAAAATTCTGTTCTTTACCCTAGCGTTCCTGCAAAGGAGGAAAAAATTGCATGGAAAAAATATATTGCCACTAATGCTGACTTTGTCCCTAGAAGCAGAACATGGCTATGCATCAGTGTTACCCTTCGATAGTGACTATTCCAGAAAGAAAACAAAGGCAGGCACCATGGCCAGAAAATCCCAGAATAACAGGTAATAGACGCACCGCTTTTTCAGAATGAATCGTCAGCTTTTCCGATGTGTCTAGCTTATTTGCAGTGCATACATTTATGAAAAATAATAACTAATCCGGTGTCTCAGTTTTCCCCATCCCGGTAGTCGCCATTTTTCCCCTGGATGGGCTTGGCTCTGTTTTGATCTCTCATATAAACACTGCCACGCGTACACCATCTCCTTAGTACTCACTGCACTTCAGAACCATCCGCCCTCATCGCTCCTTCTGCTCCGCGCTCGCCGACAGCGGCTTTTGCTGCAGACATTAACACCATAATCGCCACCCAGATTTCTCTTTGCATGGCACCTAATTTTTCCCCCCGGCACTCATTTATAAACCACAGGCAGCGAGCCGGCCGCCTCCCCCATGGCAGCCCGGGCAGATGCAGCCTCCGGTTGCGGCGGCTCTGGTCTCCGGGGCGGGGAGCGTGTGCGGGGCGGCGGGGGGGACACTCCGCACGCCCTCCTGCCTCTCCGGGAGGTTCGGGCTGAGAAGGTGCCGGAGCGAGCTTGACCTCCCCGGGGGCTGTGCTGCAGCGCCCGCTCGCCAGCCCTTCCGCCCGGCCGCCGCACGCAGATCCGCCGGGGAGCGCGGCTCGCCTGTTGTCGCTCCCGGTTATCGCCCATCCACCTCTCGGCCGCCGCCGTTCTGTTGCTGCCCCGCAGCCGCTACCTGCGCTGCGATGGCACGAGCCGAGCGCTGCTGTGCGCAGGCTCCGCAGCTTTGTTTGCTGCTCGGGCAGCGGCTGTGTACGTGCGGGAGGCTGGCTGTCTTACGGGGACACTGCCGGCCCCTGCCAGGAGCGAGCCCAGCCCTGGAATCTGCCTGCTCCGCTCTGCTCCTCCAGGGCTGCTCCGGAGAGGACCGAGGAGCGTGCCCTGCTGGGCCTTGCCTCGTCCCGGGGCAGAGATGCTCTCCCCGGCGCAGGCTCTGCTCTGCATGGTCATGCTGGATGGTGGCTCCTGTAGAATAGCCTAAAATGAACTTGCTTTGCACGTGACTTGTTTTCCAAAGGAGCAGTGAGTCTCGGCAGGCCCGCTCTCGCTGCTCCGGCGGGCATCCTGCGGCCGGCTCGGATGGTGCTGGGGAGGTGCCCGGCGGATGGCCAGGAGCTGCTCGTGGGGCACCGGAGGTGCAAACCGAAATCAAAAGCTGACGAACTCCCTCCTTGAGCAGAAGCACGAGCTGCTGAGCGCCCTGGTGGTGCCTGCTGTGGCCGAGCAGTGTGCCTCGAAGATTACCGAGGGGGAGCAAATTGTGCCCCCATGCCCCTGCTCCAAGCAAGGCAACCATTTTGGGGGCTGTTAATTGCAGTACTCCTATTTTGTTTTTCGTTTTAGTTGAATGCTTTGTCTCATCATGGAGCGTGAGAAGACAGTTCATTTTAAAGGAGAAAGTCATCAGGAGCAGGAGGAGTGTCCTGAGACACTTTGCTCTTTAAGATTTTAAATTATTTTCATATAAAGTATGCTCACTGCCTTTAAAAAACTTCAGAACAGATTTCATAAGTTTTCCAGCTGTGAATTGCTCCTTGAATTGTACAGATTTCTTGTCTGTCTCTTGCATTCAAGAAATCTGTGTTACTTACAGCGCTATTATTCCATCGTTTCCGTTCTTAGGGCTCTTGTCATCCGCTGCAAAGTAGTTATTTGTCTGAATTGTAAGCTGCTTTCAGGAGTTTTTAGGAGAGGATTTGTAATCTATCAAATACAGCAGAATTAAAAGATTTCTGGTTACAGATTTGCTAGTGTTATTAAAGTTGAGGCACACACATCCGCATACAGTTACCTTCCTGCTTTTTTTTCTGCCTGCAGATTTATATTTATTTACCCGTTTAGTGTTTTGCTCTGGTTCTCACTCCATAAAAGTGGCAGCCTTCAAAAACGCCATCCTGCAATGTGCAATGTGTACATTTACTCAACACTTTATTTTCTTCTAGCTGCAGTGATGAGATGAGGGGTGGGTTATCTGTGTTACAGGACAGGACAGTGTTTGTCAGGGAATGGTTTCCAGCGTGGACACTGCCGGGACACTGGCTGGTTTGGTTCAGCACGGCTACCAGGCTTGCTGGCCGTGCGGGAAGCAGAGGCACATTGCTTTAATGCAGCTCCCTGTCCCTTCAGGGACTGAGGGGTAGCAGGAGGGCCCTGTGGGTACCTCTGCATTGTCCTTATGGGCTTTGTACCTGTGTCCAGCAATCGCTGCTCAGGTTTGCCTGCATGCTTAGATTTGCAGGGGAGAAATTACCCCCGCATTTAAATATGCAGTGCAAAATACATGATGTACACCAGCATCAGTGTTTTATTATTATTTGGAGCTTAGAGGCTGTAAGTGCTGAGCCCCAGACTAGAGTGAATTTTTGGAAACACAGTTAATTCTTCCTAAGCAACTCAAAGATTAACAGAGGGAGACGACTGGCCGAAGTTCAGAGGATCTGGAGTGGTCGTGAGTGATGTGAACCACCGAGCAAAATGTTTGTCCGTATTGTTCCACTTTAGCCATTTTCCAGACTCACTGGGTTTGGAGCATTAGATGCAGGGAGGCATCTGATTGCATACAGGGGATTGCATACATGTCTGAAATTCGTGCCTTATTATTTAATTGTTTTTCTGGATTAAAAATACATACTTAAGGTTGGAGGAGTAGGAAAGGAGCAGCTAACTGCACATTTCAAATCTGCAGGGGCATTGTTGTTTTCATTATCTATTTTTGTATCCTGCTGCTTGCAGCATCTGATCAGATTAAAAAGTGAGAGATGTATATATGCACATACGTTGTTTTTTTTTATGCCTTATGAGGTATACATATATAAAAGCATGAAAAACATCTTATTCTTGGAAAATCAGAAAAGAGGAAAGGCAGAGAAAAACTGTCAGATGTGAGGAAGCCTGGTGTGCTGTACTCTTCTTTGTTCTGTGTTTTCCCCCCCGTGTGCCTGCCTGTGGTGGGAAGAGCATACCCCATGTAGCACAGGTGTGTTGGCCAGGCGCCGTGGGCTGGGTGACAGGCAGGGATGGATTCCAGCTGCCCTGGGCTTCAGCAAGGGCACCAATGGACCCCTCCTTCCTCTGCCGAGGTGCTGCTGATGTTCATGTAAGAAACTGCAGGATGAGACCTCCGTCCCTTGTGGATGGCTGGCGAGACCCAGACCCGCAGGAGAAGGGGCAGGAGGCTGCCAGCCCTTTGAACGGGATGCTCAGGTCTGGGCTAAAAGCTTGCTGGCCTCTTGACTGCAATTGAGTGAGAAGTAATTTTGGCAGGTTTCGATTTGTGCAGGGAAAAATACCAGCAGAATTACATTTAAATAACCAAAATCTATAAGCTTTCTGTCCTCTGTATCTGTAGGAATTGAATAGTTTTGCTTTGTCCACTGTTAGCTTTGAATCAAAATTGAAAGTGGTTGTTAGCAGTGTGTTGATAAACAGTATTCTTGATGTTATTGGTAGCAATCAGGTACAGTTTTTAGCCATTTCTGTTTCACTTGCACATTAAAATGTCTTGATCTTACATGTTTTCTTCTCAGTTTCCCTTGATGTGCCCTTTCCCATGTCACACAAACCAAACTGCTTTGTTTTCTTTTTGGTTTGCTGTTCATACCATGTCCTCAGCTGAGATTCAGACTTGTTTCCCCCAGTAATTTTGACCAAAATCCTCTGGCAAATGAAACTGGATTCTTGTTTTGCAAAGAGGACAGGAGATTAGAGAAAGCCACAATATTACCTTTTGCAAGAAGGTAAACCTAGGTCGCACCTTGTTACAATACTACTTACAAGGTACTTGACTATAGTATAATAAATGTCTCCGCAGAGCAGTGGCCGTATGTAGTTCTTAAAGCAGTGCCATGCAGTCTGATAATTCTTGTTAAGGTGTACTTAGAATTAAAAAAAGGCATAAACCAGCTGGATTTATTGCTGTTGTACCTTGGAAATGTTAATAGCAAATATTCAAAAGTCAAGCTTGGTTTTTGCTCCAAAGAAACAGATAAGTGACACGTGTGCAATGTGCCAAGGAGGAATGCGACACAAATCTGAAATTTGGTGACGTTTGCTCACAAGGCAAAGCACTCTGACTGAGGAACATGCAATCCTGCAGATAACTGAGCTTTCTTCTGCCCTGGCTGAGTGACACTCACCAGGTGTTAGGTACCTTGAGCTCTGTGTGGGTTTGAGGTGTGTGTCTGTCCATGCACCGGGAAGCTCAGGCAGCTGCTTCGCCATGAAAGGGTCAGAAATAAGGTAAAATGAAAACCAAAATCTTAGTGTTAGATGCCAGTCTACTGAGGTCACAGTTAAATTTACTTTCAGAGAAAGGAATTGAATGCCGGTGGTGCAGTGTGTTTGGCCTGTTAATTTAGGAGCTGGTTTATTGAAGGAGAGGGAGCAAAATAAATGTCGGTTTATAAATATATCTTCTGTGTCTATTAATTAATTAATATTTTTGCTCATATGTTATATAAATAGACATGTACTTCGTGCTGTGTTCTGGCAAAGGGTTATATGCAGAAAAAGATGAAAGCGGCATTTGGATTTTCAAATAAAAACAGAGCCTAATGTCCAAATTCCTCTGTTGATGTTGGCTCATGGTGAGGGTGAACCTGTGGCCCGCAGAGTGAGCCCCTTGCTCTCAGCAGATGTTTTTCTGTGCCCACACTAAGCAGCTTAGGGATCGGGGGCCTGATTTTTGTTTTATTTTTCCTTAATTTTTTTAAAAAAAATTTTATTTTTTTGTGAGAGGCCAAGAATAAAACACTGCAAAGCAGACTGTGCAGACACAGCTCCTCTGAATTTTCACCTGGATTTCTGAATTTGATAGATCTTTCTCAATTTGCCTTCCTAAAGCTAGCACAGCAATTGATATCGCCACATTTGGTTTCAAAATAATGCATTTTAGTCCCAATATAACAGATTTCACCAATGGACTTGTCCCCACTGAGGAACTGCAGTAGGTCTGTGATATTTGGGAGCTGCACTGCTTGTGCAGTTGAGGAAAACAAATTGCCACTGTGTTAGAAGCACGTTCAGACCTGGCCACTGCAAACATGTGGCAGCACCAACTTGAATGCAATCCTGGAGCCAGAACTCTGCATCAAGGCTGTGCCAGTGTGCCTGGTTCCCAGACCCCAGCTGAATCTGCAGAACCAGTTAAATTTTGCTATGATGAGAATGCAAAATTAATTTTTAGTGGATTAATTCCGTACAGGCTTATTCTTTGACAGGCTGTAAGCAGTGTCCAGTTTGAAACAAATGGAAAAAACCAACAACCCAGATGCAGTGAGTAATAGGCAGAATGTGTGCTTATATTCAGGTTTATCTGTGCTTTTTGGGGTGAACTGTAGCATTTTCAGGTGCATTCCATGGCAGGTTAGGTATGTAGACAGGGAATTTCCTGGAAGTGAATCTGGATCCTTTCAATGAAAAGCCACACAGTCTCATTCACACAAGACTGCAGGTGTAGGCATTGTGCTTTTACACACCTGCACTTCTGGGAGTGGGAACTGGATGCAGACACTTAAGGTGTAGCACCTTGTAAAGCTTCTTGTTCTGTTTGTTCTTACTCTTTTGGCCTGGACAAAAGGTGAAGTGCTGGCAGTGTAGTTCACACGGCTGCACCACCTGAGGTGGAGTTGTATCCTGCACATGGGTTGTATAACACCCTGTCAGTCCTGCCTGCACCAGAAAGCCCTGGCACTGGCAAGGTGCTGCCACTGTTTCAAGTACTTGGTTAACTACCCTGCTTTGCTCCCTACAGTGCTTTAAAGTGTGTTGGCAACTGGAAGTGTATTGGTGAGTCACGGTCTAGACTGGCTCCCATTAACACAGGGCAATGAACCTCAGCAGCATTGCCACACATCCCTGCTTTTGTCAGGAGCTGCTACCTTCCTGCTGAGGAGATGCCCCGTTCAGTGGGGTAGATGGATGGAGGAGTAGGGAAGGTGTCAGAATACTGAAACAGGCCGTGCACCACGCATACAGTGAAATCTCAATCTAGCATGTATGTGAGCAGATCCTGCTGGCTCACCCATAAACTGGCAGCAGGGGATATGGAGAGGCCTTTGCCTCTTCTGTGTTAGTCCTCTCATCTCAGTTAGCACCTGTTCAAATTCCTTAGGTGTGTCTGCTAAATGTTGAATCAACCAAAAGCTGAAATCCAATACCTAGAATTCTTGTGTGGGGAAAGGAAGGTGGTGGATGGGGATGGCTCCAGGGATGTGCTGTGAGAAGTAGCACAGCATCTTGCAGACCAATGGCTGCATTTGCTTGGTTCCTCCTTGCTCTTTCAAATCTTCTTTTGACAATTTTTTCACAAATAAAATTTATAATCAGTGAACCGCTTGGCATTTGCTAAAGGGATATTAGAGCTGTCTCAGATCAACAGTGTAGTCAAAGCACCAGTGTTCGTTATCCCTTCCTTCTGAACATATGATTTGCAGTTTTGTTTGTTGTTGGCTTTTTCCCTTTATTTTGATCTGAACCTTTTTACTTTTTTTTCCTCACTGCTACCTCCAACTTCCCCAAGCTTTTTGTGGAGATCTGAACTCAGTGAAGTGAACCTAAGTTAAACACCAGAAGTCTTCCTTCTCTTGAAGCTGTTTCTGAAAGGCTCCACAGACCATTTGCCTGCAAACCACAGTCATATATCTGTCTCTCTCATATAAATACATTTATATACATATAGCTTATTAGTTATGACCTACATCGTATCTTCACTAAGGTAATAAAAGATTCCATTTTGAAACAGGGTACTGGGTTCTGTGGAGACCAGTTCTTACGTTGTTTTCCCTCACTTTAGGTTGCATAAACAGCAGGAGATGGATATTCTTGCAATATACTCTGCTGTAGACAATGAGGGAAATAAAACCCAATATTCCGAGAGAGGTTAATCTCATCTGAAAACAAATGCAACCAAAGAAACCACTGTCATACTTTGTAATAGGGTATTTAACTTGCTCTGCAGATGGAGCAATTCTCAGGTAAATGTCAGGACTCCTGGTTTTGGTTCCTGCCTAGGGCCTGGTAGCTGGGGCATTATCCCCCTACACCTCCTGAAATGTGTGGCTGGTGCCCACGTGTGCACACTGCAGGCGTTGCTGAGGCTTTTGTGTCCCCAAGAGCTCTGCCAAGAGGCACAGGGTCACTGCCGCTCAGTTTGGCAGCTGGCACGCCCAGGGCTGTGCCGCTCCAGAGCTGCTCTGGCTGGACACACCTCAGGAGAGCACCGGGGCCACCCTTCATGTACCACAGGAGCCCTGTAGGTGTGCTGTATGCGGGACTGACAGCTGCTCACGGCATCCTCTCTCAGCCCAGCAAAATCCTCCGTGCAGGCTGAATTTTTTGGCCAATGGTTCCTGTGCTGTCCCAGCATGTGCTCGCCAGAGCTGCTGGGAGCTGGCAGCTCAGAATGGGCCAGCTGGAATGATCGTGTTCACCTTTGTGTCTAATTGCCAGAAATGTCAAGGAGTTCATGTCATAGGGATGAATCCAGGCCAGCCTGTATTTCCTCTCTGGTTCCAAAGTTCCCTACTAACAGTGCCTTAGACAGACCTTGTTGAGGGTGTCCAGGGACAATGGTTCTCTCCTGAACTTCTGTTTTCCATGTTTTTTTCCTAAATACTGGTGGATTTAGCATAATCTTTGTCAATTTTTGTGAACACAGGTGTGGAGAAATGATTGTGGAGAAAGTCTGATCTCTGTGTAGAGAATAGAAGATAAAAACAATATCCCCTTAAGACAGCCAAATGACCAAGCCCACCTTGCCCTATTAATGTAGCACAGAAAATGTATATAACACTTGCAGTGTTGCTGCATTGGTCAGGGGCACTTAAATGGCATTGTAGAAATACACACATTACTTGATCACTTGATGCAACAAGTGTAAAAAAACCCCAAAAACATAAAGAATTCATAGGCTTTTGAGACAAAGATGCCAGGTAATGGTTGACATAATGGATGTCTTGGTACCAAGACTGAGGTGCTTTCTGTTGAGAGTGGATTAGCATCAGTACACATTTCAGTGTTACATGCAGAAGGGCAGTTCACTTAGTTTCTTGCAGGATCAGGAGCTGCACTGGCCTGAGATCCATTGCTGCATTGTGAGTTTGTTCACTGGATGTTTCTTGTGTGAGCTTTGCTTTCTTTTTCCCTCTCTGTGGCTGGAGTGATGTTCTGCCGTCAGTCACACCCAGGTACAGCATCCAGCAGCTCGGGTGTGTGCAGGGAGAGGCAGGACAGCTCGGCACTGGGCAGCATTTGTGCACGAAGGCTCCCTAATCCCCCTGGGGTGTCTCTGCTCCTGGAGGGACTGTGCACTCACCCTGCACAAAGGCACCTTACTCTGCACCCTGTGCCCAGCTGCAGGCTGAGGTTGCAGCAGGCTCCAGCAGAGCTGCTCTGACATAATCTGCCAGCCCTAAAAGCCGCCACCGCCTCTCCATCTTTTGATTCTTACGTGCTGGGCATGTTTTCAGTGGGACAAAACTGAAAGTACGGAAAATCGCTGGTTCTGAAGCAGCGACAGTAACTTCGTTTTAGGAATGTTTTTAATCTGAGCTGTGTAAATAAATAAAATGAATATTTTTAGCTGAATCAGTTTTAAAAAAAAATCCTCCAAGAATTTGGCTTTCTAATGGCAAAAAACCCGAGGCATCACTTGGAGAAGAAAAAAATCTCTAATCCAAGTAGATTGGAAGAGGGTAACATACTGCTGTGGTCAGTACAGGGACTATGATTTTTTTGGGTTTTATTTTCTGTTTGTAGACTGAGAAGAATTAAGAGGATTCCTCTTTTGTTGCCATTAAGATGTCAACAACAGCAACAGCAGTGATTAGCTGCTGAGTTTTCTTTCTGCTTCTCCGTGTGCTTGAAAGCTGGCTTTTTGGGTGCTTTTTGCTCTTAGCTGTTACCATTTAGGTCTTTGAACACTTTCTGCCCCTCATAATTTTTCTTCACAGATAAAAATCTTGTGGGCTGTTTTTATTACTAACCTGCTCAGTTTTTTATGTTCATTTCTGTCTCTGAATGTATTGAACACTAATAAATGCAAATATATTATAATTCCCTCCAAATCTACACTTTACTCATGGAAATTAAGTTGATACCCTGAAGAATCTTAAAGTGAACCAATTTAATAGAAAAGCTGTTTCATAATCCATGTTAAATACGTATTTTAGAGAACTCTTTTGCCATTTATGCCGGTATTGACTTTTAAGTATTCTAAATCTTTGTTTATTTATCCTTTCTCTAATATTTCTTTTCTCTTTTTAATAGGTCATCACACAACGAACTAGAAAAACATAGGTAAGTCTTGGAACAAAGCTAATTAAAAGATGTATGCCTGACATTTGAATTACTGTGTTTATTGAAGAACATTTTATTGAAATTGTTTTGATTCTGCACTGAATTATTTATTAAGTCGGTTTTTTGGGTTTTTTTTTGTCAACTAAAATCTAATAGTTAGCGTATTATTTGGCTTTTTTTTTTTTCCCCTCTGTTATTTGGTATGCTCTTTTTGAAACATCTCTAATAGTTAGCTTTGGACTGATTAATGCTGTAACTGGTTAACCGAATTGTTACTAACAAAGAATCTGATTGCAGCAACTGTTTGCTAGAGGTGTTAAATGCTGTAAGTACAAAGTATTTTTGTGACTAAGGTGACTGCTTTTCGGGAACAATGTGTCACACACGGTTATTCTATGTTTCTTTTAAAGTATGCCTAAAGTGCAGTTAATTTTCATCTTGCATGTAAGTACCTTGGGATCCGTTTTTCCCCTCCGTCTGCTTTCCTTGCTGGTGCGTGTGGTGTCCGGGGAGCTGTGTGTGAGCGAGGCTCGGGCAGCTCGGAGCCGCGGGCTGAACCTAGCGCCGGGGAAAGCCGGACTTAGCCAGGACCGACCTTAACGCTGCAGCCCTGCGTGGTGCAGAGCTCTCGTTTGCCCCGCTCTGGAGGCAGTGCTCGGCGTGTGCTGTACCGTGTCAGAGTGTGTTTGCAGCCGGGCCCCAGGGCTGTAGGAAGGCTCCGGGAGCGCTGCTCCGAGCGGGGGAGCACAGGGAGCAGCGGGGCCCGTCTGGGCTCTGCCTTTCGCTTCGCCGCTGGGGCACCCTCACTGCGGGGCCGCTGCTTTCACTCGCCACTCAGGCAGCAGCATAAACGCCCTTTTGGGTGGGTTTTTTGTTCTTTTTTTTGTGTAGCTTGTGCTCTTTTGGGTTTCACGCATCCAGAGAAAGTGAGCGGGGTGTGTGTGGATATGACTGAAACCTATTTGCATGCTTCTAAATACGTGAAAAGTGGTTGATGGCACAACGAGATTGAACTCGTGGGTTTTTTTTGTGTGTTGTTCTGTGGCTGCAGTTACGTAGCAGCTAGACCATCACTTCCCTTGCATGCTTACATGCTTTCCTGTAGTTTAATTGTAATATGAGTAAACTATAGCTCTGCCTAATAGCCACGTGGTCATCCTAGAGATGAGAGGAACTGGAGAAGGCTCAAGCTCACAAACACAGGCCTGGGCTGTAAAATGCAGTGCACTGGCTAAGGCAGTGACATCGAGTGGCAGAACTTCTGCTGACAGTCTTCAGGAAAATAACTGCATGTAAAATTCTGTCCTTCGGTCACAGTTCTTTAAAAGAAAAAAAAAAAAATTGGCCCCAACTATGATTCTTTCTCATTCTGTTCCATTTCTTCCTCTCATCCTGCTTCATCATTACAAATTTACTTTCATCTGCATATTTCTTTTCTTTTTCCTTCCGTTATTTTCTTCTTCCTTCTGCTGTGCCTTAACATGTTTAAGCAGCACAGTAAATGAGGCACAGCAGCATTTGCAGCAGATGCAGGGCCAGAAGGAGATTCTATTAATTGTTCAATCGCTGTTCTCACTTTCAGTTCTGTGTTATATCTTTGTAGTAGCTGGACCATATAGTACTTGCCTTGCTACCTTTTCTCTCTCTGCCATCTCAAGGTCAAAATAGGTAAACTGCACAGTATGTCTTGTGATTATACAACTAATGTTTCTAACTGCTGCTGCTTGCTGTGCCTCCTGCAGTTAAACTATACTTGAAGCCAGATTTTTATTATTCCTGGTGAGAACCTGCAAATTAGTGCAAGATCTTTATATGTGCAAATGGGTGTTCACAAAAGCAGATGAGGTGTGTACAGTTCTAGCTGCCTGATGTATTGGTGTGAAGGACTCCTGCAATTTCTATTTCTTCTTTTTAACAACCCCCTCCTCCAGCAACGTGGGTGTATGAGCAGATAATACCGATCATAGTGTTTTTCACTGTGTTTTACTAAAATTACATTAAGATCTGTGAAGCGTCTTGCACGGTTTAATGGAAGATTCACAGCCATGGTGTGTCCCTGTAGCAGCTGGTCCCTGCAGCAGAGCCTGTCTTCCCCCTCGGGTGCAGCCCTGCCCTGCCAGCTGGGAAGCACTGGATGTTGATTTTGGAGGTGTCTCCTTTCCAGGACCAGCGCCTTTGACTCAGCACTGCCGTGATGCTGCTCTGGCAAGGCACACTGGGTTATCTCACAGGAGCCTGTCGAGGAGGAGGAGGAGAAGAGGAATGGCTGTGCGTGTCCTCCTCCGTGCCCAGTCCTTCACGTGGTGTCTGAGGGCTGCACTCTGTGCTGGAGGGCAGGGAAATGGCTTCCTCATTTACACGGCCCTTGTGTCCTGCGTGAGGCAGAGATGCCATTAACTGGAAAGCCATGGTGTCAAATACAGGGTGTACACGGTGCTGTTTTGGGTTCTGCATCGGTGTTGCACATCAGAGCTCTTACCTCTGGTTTTGATGTCGGTGGGAATGGCAGTGGTTGACCTCTGTGTGTGCTGTATTGGCCATTTGGCCACTACCACTTTATTTTGCGTTTTCTACTGCTGGGTCTCTTTTCTGTGTGCTTTTGAGGGGGTGCTCAGAGGAAGATAAATGAAAGCAGAAACGTAATTCCAAGAAAGAAAGTTTCATTATATGATAGAATTCAGATTACTATTATGGTAAAGTGTTTCTCAGCGATTCATACATGAAATTAATTTTTTTCTGCTTTAAGTCTCTCTAGAATACCCTGCTCAGAACTTTAGTGTGGGTTCCATACAGGGAAACTTGTCCCTCTAATGGCAGTCTGGTTTGGGTCCTGTGCATTTAAGGTGTGTATCTTGGAGCCATGAAACAGGAAATCTCCTAAATAAAAAGTAGGAAGGCAAGAAATCTTCTATCCCAGGACAGCTGAGGTCCGAGAAGGTATTTTAATAATTACAGATAGGTTAGTCAGAGTGACACTTGGATGTAACTAGTTCCTAATGACAAAGATGTATATTCATGTAGGTATTTTTTGTTGTCTCCAGCCAGACCATTACGACTGTAGGCTTTCACAGAGCAATATAAATAGTAAGTAAATTAGTAATCATGACTTTTTGTAAGGAAATTTTTTAATTGACCTGACAGCTGTATAGAGAAGTTCAGCTTTCGTTGTGTAAAAAAACACCCAAGCATTCATGAGAGACGTACGCTTCTTTAAAAGACACAGCATAATCTCATTTATTTGCATCAATTTGTACTAGTTCTACATTAGAAGGTAAATGCCAAGGTGTATCCCCTCTGAAGACTGTGCTGAGATCTCCACACTGCTCTGTGAAGGCAGGGACAACCTGCCTTGACTGTTCACCTGTGGTCTTCTCCCCAGCTTGTGCAGGGCTGTGCGAGGAAGAGCACACACAGCCCTGACAAAGGATACTGGATCAACCCATCAGGACTTCTTTGGTGTCATTCAGTCCTGCCTGGCCATGAGGAGGGGTTCAAGGTCTTGCCCTTTCCCTGGAAAGTCTTTGGAAACAGCTTGTGAAGCTTGATGATTTTGAAGAACAGCTTTTAAGAGTTAAAGAGGAAAGGAATAGGTGTGCCTCAAAATCAGCAAGCCATGTGCTGCTGTCCCCAGACTGGCACCATATGAGCTGAAGAAGTGCTGTGTAACCCTAGTATGGCTTGATCTAGGTTCCAGGTCCCCAAGCTTAGATTTGACAAAAGCTGGTGAGCTGAGCCAGATGGAGGTAAAAACCAGGCATTGCTGTTCAAGCTCAGACTGCTGGAGTTGGTGTTGGCCTGGATCAATTGAGAGAGACAACCCTGAACTTTTAGAAGTGCAAGACAGAATGGGGAATGCATGAGACACAGTGATTTGCAAAACCTTAAAGATGGAAAAAAAACCTCCAAATCTTTCTTTCCAGAGGAGCTTAATGTATTTGTTGTTGTAGACTGCTGACTGGGGGAAACTGAAAATGTTCCCACGTGCACAGAAGGTAATACTGCTGCTAGTTTTGTGCAGTTCTTAAAGCTAAAATCTTGCCAGAACAAAGTTTCTATATTGCATCATCATCTGCATGAATGAGCATCTCTACAGGAACACAGGTTTTGATGAGCAATATATATTTTCATGGGAGTATTATTATGTACAACATTAGCTGGTGCAGAAAACAGAGCAAATGCCTTTGAAGTTAAGTCCTGATAGATGGTTTTCTCATGGAGGAATTGCACATTCAAGAGCACAGTTATATTCATTGGTACATCAGTTTCACCCACCAGAGTTGCTTGGTGTTATATAAGCTGAGAGAATGCCTAGATGGATGTCCAGAAATCTTCTCTGTGGCTCTTCAGGTTAGTAAACTGCAGGGTTAATGAAAAGCATATAATTGCCAGTTGGTGATAAACTTGTAAGTTTTGAAACAGAACTGAAAGGTCATTGAAATAATAGTATACCAAAACAATGCTTAATGTTTATTTTTATTATGGGCTGCCTTTTCAAAATCACAAATTACCATTGTGGTTAGCACTGTTACACAGCATAAAGCTGTAACTGCACTGATCCATCACGGTGACTGGCTGTGGTGCCACTGCTGAGGAAACCCCTGAACTGGTGCTGGAGGTAAAGTCCTTCCAGAGAAGGATTACTCAGTGTCTCACTGCTGTGCTTCCATCAGGAATTTAGCCCAGCCGTGGCTGCACACTGGTGCTCCTGGGTCCTCCTTCCTGCCAGCACAGCAGGTGGGGAGAAGCTTCCTCCTTTGGCCAGGTCACCTTCCTGAGCCAGCTCACTGTCATAGGCACACCCTGATGCCAGTACAGGGAGAGGATGGGATGGCTTCTTTGAGTGATACTGTTAATTTACAGTGTTAATTTACTGTACAGAACTGTTATAGTTCACTTCTCTGTCAGTTTATGTTTTTCCTAAGCATCCAGTTTTGGCTGCTGTTGCCTGGAAAGTGCTGTGCTGGATGGGTCTTACTGACCTGGGAAAGATCTCATTGTTA